CATACATGTAGACACATACACACATTGATAAACATAAACATAGACATACACATTCAAATACACACACGTACACATATGTACTTACATACACATTCAAATACACAAACATGCATATACATACACATACACATAAACATACACATACACATTCAAATACACCAATACACATACATATATACACACATACATTTACTTACACACCCACATATACGTACATGAACATACATACACATACACACATACATAAATACATACATATACATACAAATATACATATTTCCCTTTATTATAATCATTTTTCATTACTTATAAATTAAACACATATTATTTTACATTATTGATGTGTTAAATGTAGCTTTTTTCATTTAATTATTTGTTTGGGTTTTAAACACATTTTGTACAATTATTATATATTATTATGATGTTTATAAATATTATTATTAATAGTATTATTAGTATGATTTTTAATTGTTCATGTCTTAAATATGTAAGAAAAATGATTCAAAAAAAATTAAGAGCCAAATAATGAAAAATAATAAGAATGGGAGTTTTAATAATAATAATCGAAATTATAAATCCATCGGTATATTATAGCTATTATGTAGCTATTTTCTTCTGTCACTAGTTCGTAGTTATTCTGTAGCTTATTAGCTACGGAATACTTACGAATTAGCGTTAGTAGCTATTTCATAATTATATTAGGGCGTCTCATTCTGTAGTTGATCCATAGTAGATTCCGTAGCTAATTATCTATGGAAATTTTTTGTAGCTATTTTCTGTAGGAAACCTAGTAGTGTTCAATGTTTAGTGTATCCAACATGTCATATCTAATAACCAATGAACTAAAGCCATGCGCATATTCATTATTTTAATCTAAAATATCATTGTGCAAATGATTCCTAAAATCAATTATTATCAATAAATAAGTTCTAACAAATAAATGTCGAACCAAAGTGACATGTTAGAAAACATCAATAATAATCGTAAAGTACACCATTTATCTCTAAATTAATAATAAAAGTAGTAAACATGGATACATGTGGTTTTTTACAAAATACCAAACTCACTACATATGTGGGATCTTCCTAACTATCATCATTAGGTTTATATGGGTATCGTGAATAAAGATGTTGATAACATGCTTGCATAACAAAAGGTCATTCAAAACCTAAATAATAGAAAAAAAAAAAACTTAGAAGTTTGTACAATAAATACCATCTGGAGATAAATTGTAGTGCAAAAACCAAAGGAACTATCATTTTGATTACATGCCCTTTTTATGGAAGTCTATCCATTGCTTTTTGGCATGGGGTGTCAATCTCCTCCATTCTAAAGAACATATATGATAATTTTATATAATAAGAATTTAAATTAAATAAAAAAAGGTGAAATAAACAAAAATAGAAAACCTCTCAAAACCAATGTGAATGGTTCCCATATGTTGTGGACTAGCTTTAGGATAATTCAAATTGTGGGAATTGAATTATGGCCATTTATTAACTGTTCAATCACGTGTATCAAAAAAGGAAACTTAGAAAGATTGATTATTTGGTGAAGAAAATATTAATTTATTAATAAACTGTTATATACAAATAAATCTCTTTAGTTTCTCCATCACCTGATAATAATAATAATAATAATAATAATAATAATAATAATAATAATAATAATAATAATAATAATAATAATAAGTCCCATTTTCTAGTATTTGAGTATTTCCATGCATTAGAAAGTCGAATACAACCATGATGATTGATGATGCTTGCATAAATTCTTTTGCATTAATCGAGAGGGCAAACATAGTTGTTCCTAGCTATCAGTAGACCTGGCAAACGTGTCGTGTCGTGTCGGGTTCTTGTTGTGCCAAAACATTAAACGGGTTGAAAGGGCTTGACTCTAACATTGGAGTTATGAGATGAAATGAAAATATTTATAGTAAGTATAGAAAGAAAAATAAAAAGAGTTAAAGTTGGAGAGTAAAACGGATAGGTTGTGAGGGTAACTAAAATTAAGTAACTTTGAAAATTTGAATATTACTTCTAATTATTAAGTTTGGTTCACTACAAATATATAACATATAATACGTTTATAAAATTATAAAATTTATAATAAATAATATACAATTAAACGGGTCATTTTCGAGTTGAAAGTCTTGACCCTAACCCAACCCGTTTAATTATCATGTTGTATCGTGTCAACCCGTTTATATAAAAGTGTCGAAATCTCTAACCCTGACCAACTAATTTCGTGTCGGATTTTCGTATCGTGTCATATTTTGTCAGCTCTACCTATCACTCTTTCTTTTCTTGCTTGGTTGACTTCTTCTTATATAGTGTCTGGCATGCACTTAGAACCTTGTTTCAAAAGAAGTTATTGTAATTAGAGGTGACAAATATGTTTTAATATGAGTTTGGTTTAAGTTATGAATTACATGTAGATCATTTGTGATTCGCATGTAATTCATATATGAATCACATGCGATTCACATGTGAATCACATGTAATTCATATGTGATTTACTTGTGAATCACATGTGATTTACATGTGAATCACATGTAATTCATATGTGATTCACTTGTGATTTACATGTAAATGTGATTCACATATAAATTACATATGATTCACATATCATTCACATACAAATTAAATGTCATTCAAATGTGATTCACATTCACATGTAAATCACAAGTGAATCACACATTAATTACATGTGATTCACGTGTGATTTATATGTGAATGTGATTAACATGTAAATCACATATAAATCTAATATGAATTACGTATGATTCACATATAATTCACATACGAATTACATGTAATTCACATTTGAATCACATATGAATTATATGCGATCCACATGTAAATCACATTTGATTCACATTAAATCACGAGTCACATATGAATTACATGTGATTCACATGTAAATCATATGTATTTCACATATGATTCATATGTGATGTACATATGATGACATATGTAAATGTGATTCGTATGTGAATATCATGTGATTCATATGTAAATCACATTTGATTCTTATGTTAATCACATGAAAATCAGATATGTATTTTGTTTGAGTGTTTTTACATCAATCAATTTTTTTAAATTTTCTTATAGATTTGGAAGAAATTGTGGTGAATATTGAAGATGTGAATAATGATAAATTGAATAAAATAAGGAAATGTTAAGACGAAGACATGAAAATGCTATGAAATTTGTAGCATTTTTTATTTTTTATATTTTATTTTGTATCCAATAAAATACTTGTACTATTATGTTTATAGATTAATTAATAAAAATAAAAATTCTTTATGGTTACTTATGAATATTATAATATAAGAAATATGTATATATGAATTTGAATATATATATATATATATATATATATATATATATATATAATATATATATATATATATATATATATATATATATATATATATATATATATATATATATACATGCACCAAAAACTTTGATTTTTATTGTTAAAAAAATAGAGTATTTTTTTTTAATATTCTTGCTCTTTTTTTTATTGATTTTTAAAAATTTAGTTTTTTTTTTTTTTTAAAATGCTGTTTTTTTAATTACATTTTTTTTAAATGTAGTTTTTTTGAAAATACTGTAGTTATTTTTTTATTAAAAAATATAGTTTTTTTAAAAGAATTACAGTTTTTTTTTTTTTTAAAATATAGTTTGTTTAAAAAAATTACAATTTTTTTTTTGGAAAAAATGCTGTTTTTTTTTTAAATTACAGTTTATTTAAAAAAAATATTTTTTTTTTTAAATTTTTTTTTCATAAATTCATGTTTTCTTTAAAAAGTTAAAAAATCTGCACTTTTTTTTAAAATTGAAAAATATTATTTTAAAAAAATCCAAAAATTTGATGTATTATGTAAATTTTTATACATTAATATTAACATATTCAATAACATAAAAAATTAAACATTAAATGTGATTGGTAATATGATGATCACATCCTTAATGAATTAACTTTAATCCAATACTCCACTTTTTGTTCTCGAGTTTTCGGGAATCTATGACTTCTCAAACGATTTCAACTATATATATATATATATATATATATATATATATATATATATATATATAGAGAGAGAGAGAGAGAGGTGTTAGGAAGAAGACGACTCTTCTTGATGTTCTTATGTTTTTGGTATTTTTGGTAATCTTGGCAAATGCTCATGAAAGTGGAGGGATAGGTGAAATGACGAAAATACCCTTACAAGGAGTACTTGGTTCCACCTTTAAGGCATTTAAGTTGAGCTACCAAGTGTAACCAAACAATAAGTTGAGCTACCAAGTGCAACCAAACAGCCAATATGAAGGATCAACGTGCCAAAATGAATCTTGTGGAATAAAGATGTTACTTTTGAAAAACCATAGGGACCAAAAAAATAATTTAATTTTAATATAAGTTAAGGAGAATAAAGTTTAGTATTTTATTATCTCATGCTCCTATATTTTATTCCCTCGCCAAGTTCATATTCCACATATTTCATTCCAACAGATTTGGTGTCGTAAGTGGATCAGGTTTGTAGTAACTTAAAATCCATCTTAGATGTTCCATTGAACCACATAGTTGACCTGTATGATGATTTTTCTTTATATGGTTTGTTAGTTAGTTACATGTATTTGAAAGGATCTATCCCTAAGAAAAGATTATTGTGTAAAAAAAAAAAAACCAACACAAGATATTAAAACCAAATAAATTTACGGTGGAAGTATTAGCAAAAGAAGAAAGCATGAAATATCCATTTAGAAGCTTCAAGAGTACATGAAAAACATACATGCACAACAAGGGTGCTTATTGTACTTGAACTTGGTATGCCACCTTATTTTACTAGTCCCTCATCGAAGATACTAGATATACGATTTTAAAACATATAAAATACATACGAGTACCACGTTTAGAAGACAAAATGACTTACGACCGACCATTTAACATTTGTTTCCATCAAACACAACATGCATCCATGCAGCCATATATCATGCTACGTACGGGTGAAGAATGACACCCAAAGAGTCTACGTAACTCCCGTACTTTCCATAGAATCCCGAAATCTTACCGCGTGTGACCCCGAACGAAAAATCAGTCCCTGGGTTTGTGCCGTATTGCCCATAAGTGCTGATGTTGGTCTCGAAACTAATTGACGTAATCACAGTAGAGCCATCAAATGATCCGACACGTCCACTAATCCCGATGAGGAACTCATTGTCAGCGAATGTGATCTGGAACCCAAACATAAATATCATGACTGGACTGCTATATTATAAAATAACAACCTACAGATGAATTCAAAGCTAGCTTACCGAATGAGACGAGCCACCATCGCCACCGAATTTTTCAGAAATATGAGTGCCATACTGATCCTTGTAAGTGAAGCGGATGAAATCTAGAGCATCTCCACTGCTTAAGTCTATCTTGGTAAGTCTTGCACCATCAGGTATTATGAATTCCCACGTATTTACACCGATTCCACCCTCACCTCCCCATGGTGTACCCCACACTCCACTGCCTGCCTGCATATGGATCCAAAATAAAATACTATTCAAAGAGTTGATAGAATGCTAGCAATGAATCAACATTGTAAACATGACATTCCCAAATATAGATAATTAACAAACTAACTCCAGAGAATATGGTGACAGTCTGTACCATATTGGTCTGCTGTATTTTCAGAGAAGCTGGGCGATGCTCCTTGTGTGGAACTGAAGTTGTGCATCTAGCCGGTTACGTGCTTGACTATATATAGACACCATTTTGCGTTGTATAGTTGAATAATGGAGTTTGAATTAACGAGGTGAGGTGGCATGTCCAAAAGATTTCACGAGATCCACGTTTTACAATTGCTAAAAGCTAGACATGGTTGTTCAAAAAAAATATCCGTTAATACAAAATATTTTCAAAATAAAAAATATGATTAAAAAACTCATGGTATGATGCATGCGTAAGAATTGTCATCTTATCTGATATTTCCTATATCAATAATTACAAGTAACATCAAACAATAATTACGGCTCAATGTATTCGTTTACCACTATTCCCCTCCAACGGATTTAACTATTCGGTGTTGTTATTCGCATCTGAACAAAGGATTAATCAACAGAAAGTTCATCCATACGACTTGTTTTACTTAATTACTAGGCAAAAGCCTGCGCGTTGCACAATGTAATAATTATTTAGTTTAATATATATATATATATATATATATATATATATATATATAATATGGTAAAAAGAATAGTTAACATTATTTTTATGCCTATACTTAATTGAGAAGTTATTATTTTAAAAGAAATAAGATCTTAACATCATATAATTAATTGATATGGTTTAATCTATTGTGAATAAACCATACATAAAGGTTAAATACGATTAAATATCATGTATATTCTTTGATTTACAGATAATTTATAATAATAAATAATTATTTTTTTTACTATCAATTTAAAATTTTAAATGTAATTTTTATATACACATTACTATCTAATGTAATTAATGGATAGTTGATTAAATATGTATTATCATTTGTGGTCGTCTATTTATGTTGAACCTCATAAAAGTACATTGTTAACGATTTTTGTCAGTTTTACTATTGAATAGAAAAATAGTATCATATTTTAAGTAAATATAAAAAATCTCATTCTCAATCTATTTAAAGATAATTACATATTTTAAGTTAATATAAGAAAATCACATTCTAGAGCTAATGAAAAAGAAAAATCCGAGCCAAAAAATTTGAACTATAATAAACTTGATTTCAATTACATGGTGTTCAGTGGAAGATAATATCATTCGATAAATATCATAAGATATTATATTATATTCAAATTACGAACATCATTTTTGTAAGAATCATTCAAAATACATGAAACTATAGTGTCTAATACAACAACGTAGTAACCAAATCACCCTAACATATTTTAAATTAAATATAATTATAATATATTTTGTATGTAACTAAATTTTTGCACAACATGTGGGATTCATCTAATATATGAGATTCGTCTAATATTATATTGATTCCATTCTTTTAATACTTGTTTAATCTAATGCAACTCATGAATATTTAAACTGTTTGACATATTTTTTCAATTGCTTAGTGGTTCGAAAAAAAAAACAGTTGTATGAATTTATCTCATTTTTTGTATGGTATTTTCGAAATTTGAATATATTTAGCCTTTGAAATATGAGCTTCATGGAGTGGCTTAAAATTTTAATGTGATTATCATTATCTCATATGAATTATCATTGATTATTTGTGATTAATTATTTTGAAGGTGAAAAGATGTAGGGGTTTCAACTGCATAAGGTTTTAGTAATTATTGTGGAGTGATTTAAATTTTTAATGTGATTATCATTATCTCATAAGAATTATGTGGGATTAATTAGTTAGAAGATGAAAAGGTATGGTGGTTTCAAATGCATGAGGTTTGAGCAAATTGTTATGGAGGTTTCAGCAAATTGTTATGGAGGTTTCAAATGGATGACATTCAAGAGAAAATGCAACATTTATAAGTATAAAGAAGATTAGGCTGTAGAGAGTCGTTCGACAAGGATTACGTGGCTTCTGCACACTAGCTACATCGTGTACACGTTAGCCATCTACGAGTTCAAATCTCATTCATTTCCTCCTACTACCAATTAGTGTCTAGCATTTAAAAAAAAAAGATTAATGTCAACCTAAACCTACAAACTTCCCATTTCTCTTAGAAGATCCCTAATGTTTTTTTCTTGCGTTAAAATGGTACAAATTAAATCTTGAAATGTTATTTCGTTATCTTAACCTACTAAAGCCGATTTAATAATTTGTGTTCTTATTTGTTGAATTCAACCAAAAAAAAAAAAAAAAAAAAAAAAGGAACAAAATCTTCCACTACAAAAAATATGTGATTATTGGCACACAAAAAAAAATGCCACTAAAACCTCCAAAATATGTCACTAAAAGTTTCATATATAATCAGCCGCACACATAATAAGTATCACTAAAAACGTTCCAACTAAAACTTTTTGTGGATATATAGATGAACATGTACAATAGGGGTGTGAAAAAAACGAAGTGAGAAAAACAACGTTTGGTGCCCGAAAAATAAAAGATAAGAAAAATCTATAGCTAATTAGCTACAATTTTTTTTTTCCGATTTTGGGGCACCAAACATTGTTTTTTTCGATTTGTTTTTTTTTGCACCTTTATTGGACATAATCATCTATATTTTTACCAACTTATAGCTATTAATATCGTTTATAAAGTCGTGTGCACATTCAAGATCTCTTACTCGTTTAATGGTTTAATATTGTAATACTTATTAATATTTGCGATTTCTAATACGCATACATGTAGACACATACACACATAGATAAACATAAACATACACATACACATACACATTCAAATACATAAATACATACACACACACACACACACACACATATATATATATATATATATATATATATATATATATATATATATATATATATATATATAAACACGTACATTTACTTACACACCCACATATACATACATACACATACACACATACATAAATACATACATACACATACAAATATACATATTTCCCTTTATTATAATCATTTTTCATTACTTATAAATTAAACATAGATTATTTCACCTTATGTGTTAAACGTAGCTTTTTTCATTTAATTGTTTGTTTGTGTGTTAAATACATTTGTTACAATTATTATATATTATTATGATTTTTATAATTAGTATTATTAGTATGATTTTTAATTGTTCATGTTTTAAATATGTAAGAAAAATGAACCAAAAAAAAAAAATTAAGAGCCGAATAATGAAAAATAATAAAAATGGGAGTTTTAATAATAATAATGGAAATTATAAATATGTCGGTATTTCGTAGCTATTATGTAGCTATTTTCTTCCATCACTAGTGCGTAGCTATTCCGTAGCTAATTAGCCATGGAATACTTACAGATTAGCATCTGTAGCTATTTCATAATTATATTAAGGCGTCTCATTCTGTAGCTGGTACGTGGCAGATTCTGTAGCTAATTAGCTACAAAAATTTTATGTAGCTATTTTATGTAGGAAAACTCTCTATTTTCTAGTAGTGTTCAAGGTCTAGTGTATGCAACATGTCATATCTAATAACCAATGAACTAAAGGCATGTACGTATTCATTATTTTAATCTAAAATATCCTTATGCAAATGATTCTTAAAAGCAATTATTATCGGTAAATAAGTTCTAACAAATAAATGTCGAACCACAGTGACATGTTAGAAAACATCAATAATAATCGTAACGTACACCATTTATCTGTAAATTAATAATGAAAGTAGTAAACATGGATACATGTGTATTTTTATAAAATACAAAACTCACTACATATGTTGGATCTTCCTAACTATCATCATTAACTTTATATGGGTATCCTGAATAAAGATGTTGATAACATGCTTGCATAAAAAAAGGTCATTCAAAACCTAAATAATAATGAAAAAGACTCAAAAGTTTGTACAATAAATAACATCTGGAGATAAATTCTAGTGCACAAACCAAAGGAACTATCATTTTGATTACATGCTCTTTTTATGGAAGTCTATCCATTGCTTTTTGGCATGGGGTGTCAATCTCATCCATTCTAAAGAACATATATGATAATTTTATATAACAAGAATTTAAATTAAATATAAAAAGGTGAAATAAAGAAAAATAAATGAAAAATAGAAAACCTCTCAAAACCAATGTGAATGGTTCCCATATGTTGTGGACTAGCTTTAGGATAATTCAAATTGTAAGAATTGAAATGTGGTTCAATTGAGAAAGTGAAAAATAAATACACATGTATCAAAAAATCAAAAAATGAAACTTAGAAAGCTTGAGTATTTGGTGAAGAAAATATAACTAAATCCGTTTGGTTCTCCCACCTGATGTAAAATAATAATAATAATAATAATAATAATAATAATAATAATAATGTGACATCTCCAATTTCACGGCTAGAAAAAATCGATTTGTTTATGTTTTGTTCTTAAAATCAAAGTAACCGTTTAAAGAAAACTGATGCGGAATTTGTTCCTAAAAACAAAATTTTATAAGAATTTACTAAAGCATTTCTTAAAGAAATGTATTTTCATTATATAACAAAATCTCAGGATGTCATGTTCCGATACAGACACATAAGCATAAACAAAACTTACATTTATTTACACTAATGATTTACATCTCCTTTAATCTCTAAGTGAAATATGTCTTCGTATTAATACCTGTGATACAAAGAAAACTGAGTGGGTCAGGCTTGGGAGCCTGGTGAGCATATAGGGTTTTCAAACCACAATAATATAATTATTATATTCAACCATCAAACAATCAACCCAATTAACCATCCCCATTATCTTTATTTATTAGGATTTTACCCTCAAAATTCAACTACCCACCATTCATTCATTCCTGAGGATTGACATAAGGAATTTGCACAAAATCTATTGCTACATAAGGCGCATCTACCAACATCATACTTTAAGCGCCTCTGCCAGGATTACGTCATACACTATGAGGCGCGACTACAAGGTTTATGACATTCTCTTTTGGGCGCATCTGCCAACATTATCCTATAAGCGCATCTGCCAAGTTACCCTACAAGCGCATCTGCTAGTATTATGACATTCTCTATTTGGTGTATCTACCAATATTATTCTCAAGCGCATCTGCTAGTATTATGACAT